AGATTAGATCTCATTTTGATGAATAGACTCTTCAAATTACACAAATATTAGCCTCCCAGTGCATTTGTTGCTTAATGTCAAAAAGATATATGTAATAAATACAAATTTAATATATAGAACAAAAAATAGTAGTGTTAAATTATTGCGCCTAGTTGAAGTAGTTGGAAGAAAGAAATCAACTTGTAAAATTATTGTTTGATATAGAAATAAATAATTTGATGCATATACAGACAATTTAATCTATTATTTATTAGATTGGAGATTAATGATATAAATTATTTTTGCAAAGTTAATTATTCCCATCATATTTTTTCTTAAGAGTTATTGAATTTAACTTTTAGATCTACTTTTGAGTCCTATCTTCCTTCCATAGTTAACAAAATCCTATACTTAAATTTTAATATTTTTCCCTTAAGAGAATTTTAAATTAAGATTGAAAGTTGTAAAAACTTAAATTATGAAGAAAAACTTGCAACCTGTATTTTTTATAATAGAATTTTAGAATATTAATAATAAATGGGTAACTCAATAAAATGCTGATAAAAATGATAAAACCTTGAATTAGTGCTGAAAATTATATAGAGACCATATAGTAATCTTCAGAAAATAAAGAGTAGACAAGGGAGTTTGATAAATTGTCTACATTTAAGAATTTGAGATCCACAAATTGTGATTTCCAGAGCAATTTAAAATCGTTAATTGAGAAAGAGTGCAAATTACTAACTTTTCCAAATTAATGTATGATTGGAGGCAATTTTAATAGGATGGCATCTTAATAATGCACTTTCTAATTGTGAAATCATAGATGTATTCTTCAACACATTTAGCAACCCTTCTATAAATTTCTTGATAAATCATTAAATTTCTTCATCAATAAACGAATAATCATCAAAAAAATCTAGTATAGTTCTTGTTGGAGCATTTGCAAAATAATTGAAAATTTATCAACAACAATAGTTTGACAGGCAACTCACTTTTTTTGAAAATTTGGATGTATATCCTTCTTTATTTGAAGATAATGGTGTAAATCCATATTTTAAGATTCTACATACATTCCAAACATGTTATGACATATTTAATGTTATTGATGGGCTATATAATTATGAAAATAATACTTTTTTAATCAATTATCTTTAAACTCATAAAAACCACATTATAATTATTCTTTCGATGATTTTTCTTGATTTAATTTAATTTATAGTTTAAAACTTCATAATTATTTGAATCTTCAAAATATGATAGGCAATTACCTTTTGTTAGACAATCTCATTCTTCATAGTTGATTTGCAACTTATAGATTGTTCATCAATATCTGGACAATTAAAAAATTGGAACCCAACAATTGAGAAACCTTATGCATAAGGTTCAATCTAAGGCTAGATGTTTCTCGACCTTAAATGAGAAATGATATTGCAAGATAATTGGAGTATGATTGTAATAAATTCCCATATGATAGCTTAAATTACATTCTATCATACTATAAAAATTTAATCTCAATTCTTCTTTATTACAACATTTATAAAAATAATTGAAACCAAATTGAATTTTATAATTTTTTTATTAATATATAATGCCACAATTTAATATCAGAGATAATATCAAATACTTCAGACTTAGCCGGAAAAGTATTACTATAGGTTGTTATAATACTTTGATTTATAGATGATATCTTGTAAATAATTAAAATGCGCAAAAATTTTGTTGAATTAATTGGAGATGTTAAAAATTAACAGTCATCTTATAAGTTAAACTATGAATTCATCATCATCGGATGAATAAATTTATTGAAAGTTTGCCCAACTACATAAGAAAAATTTTAAACGATTATATTCATGTGGTACAAATTCAAATAAACATTATTTTTAAGTCTACTATCTGTTGTTAAAATGTTATTCAAATTCACAGTCATTATTATAAGAGCCTTCGATAATCTCAATAACATCAACAGTGGTTTTTGAAATACATCTCTCAACATAGCTAATTTCCCCTAAAAAATATTATTAAAATCAACTTCAAAAAGAAGAATCGAATATATTTTTTGGATACCATTCAATTATTTATCCAAATAACACAATGAAGTCACCACTCTGATTTGCGATTTTGAAGGATTTATATAGTATTCTTTAAAATACCAAACAAATTAAATTGAGTAAAATCTATTAAATTATCATTTTTAAGATTTTGCTTTCTGTGTTTTCCTTAAAAACATAATATATATCGTTTTTAAATATTTAATAAAATAATTAGTAAACTTATTCACAAATAATCTAATATTTTCATATAAATATCATGATTCTTAATCTCAAAAAATAGAATAATTTTTTAAAAAAAATTCATACATAACACATTATTTTCACAAAAATCTAGAATTATATTTGAATATAGATTTAAGTAGTTTTAAACACAAGTTATCAAAGATATTTATAACGAATTTCTTAAAGAATTGAAAAGCAAAATATTAATACAAAAAACATAATTTAACATTTACTTTTAATTTCTAGAATGTATTTAAGATACTAATACTTCAGAAAACTATATTTATTTAAAAGTGATTTTACAATACTATGATTTGATATCGGGGAAGTATTAGATTTCCAAAATTTTCCAAGAAACTAGAGCCTAAATAAGTGGAGAAATCAAATCATAACAAGCCTTATTAAATGCTAGAAAGAGGAGGAATTAAGCAAGAGGAATTCTTAAATTTTTTTAACTAATATTATATTTATGATATATAATTTTATTATTTGATATAAATACTTATATAATTATGTAAAATTGAGTTTGAAATGAAAAAAATTTATTGGATTCTTTGGTTATTCTTAAGTTTCACTTCAAGAGGATAATTAACAGTAGATCACAATTTTCAAATAATTTGAAAGTTAAAGCTCAATTTTGATGTCGCTTCTTTAATTGATAAATACTAATCATATTTGTTATTGAAAATATATGACCATTTAATTCATAATAATATCAACATAGTTTCATATATTTGTTTAGAGTTTATAATAT